CACCACTATCACTACTGAGTGCAGAAATGGGAGCTTGCAACAGAGCAAACATTAAATTTGAGAGGTTTCAGTTTTAACATGTGGTACAAACAACCTGCGAACACTTAAAATTCCTATTTTCCTCCCCTCCAAAACAGTTTCACTATAACGACATGTGTAGATGTATGTCTGATGTGCTCAATACAAGAATAGAAAATGGCAGCAGTTTTGGTTATGGAGGTTAACAATAATGTACTGACTTTGCACCCAAACATTCCAAACCAAGTGTGGACATGGTTACATACACTTGAAATACTTCACAAAGCTGTATATACATACCATTATTTCCAGCAATCTTTCCAGTATCTCCGTCTCCTAGAGGTACAAGAGAAGAAAGGACATTAGTAACATTTGGTTGGGAAATTCTCCTGTGGTCAACTTCAAATCTTAATTGGTGAGCAAAGCAAGCCTGCCTAGTCTAAATGTTGGGGGAAATAGCAGTGTAGCAGTTGGGGGAAATCATGGGATTTGGGCTCCAACATAAGGCTTATCTGTTAGCATGCTTTGTTTAGCAAATATCATGAATGTGGAGCACTCTGCATAGGCTGTAGAGTGTAATGGGTTCAGATCCCACCCAGGGCAGCTGATTTGAGTCATTGCTTCACACAATGCCTTGCCTTCATACCTCAATGAATGATTCATGTCTGCACATGGTGTGTATGTGAGTCATGGCGGAAACATAACAATGGTAACCTCATGGTTTAGCCTCATTGGTGTCAACTTCAGTACAAGGAAATTGGTACAAATATAGGTTAGACTATGGGTCCGAGGTGAATACTAGAAATCAGAAACCCGAGAGGCTGCGCAAGCGAAATGGCGAAGAATATCCACCGAACACCCTACTGCACATCCTCTTTGGTCTGTTTCGTCACTTTCGCACAACTGGGCATCCTACAATTCATTTCAAAGATGCTCAGTTTGCAGAGCTGTGAATGACAGTCGACGCAGAAATGAGAAGAATACAGAAAAAAGGAGTTGGTTCCAAAAAAAGGCAGGCCGAGCCAATCACCGAGTCGGAGGAAGACCAACTTTGGGAGAGGGGGGAATTGGAAGACCACATTCCTCAAACACTACTAAATACTGTTGTGTACATGGTTGGGCTCTATTTCGTTATACGACAACTGTTAGAACTGAGAGCAGAAACGAGGTATAAAAAACAACTATTTATACCATGATATTAGCTTGTTTTTCTTGTAAAATGGCCTGTTTACATGTAGTTTTCGTGTTAATTCTGTAAAATTTGAGGATTATACGTTAAATCAGAAACCTCGTTTATGGGCCAAATCATGGTATAACTGCAAATAGTTATCAACAGGTCTGCAGTGTTTCCCACAGGGTAATATTCAAACAGGGTGCTTATGAATAATTACCCCAGCTTTCAGGCTGAAAAACATTACTTGCTACTCACATTTCAAAGCACTTCCTATTGGGAAACCCCCTACTGGCCTAAAGCCTTTCTAGTGCTACTCTATAAGCAGCGCATTACTGCGCACAGTGTAACCGCGCTAGTTGCATTTTACGCATGCGCAATAATTGTACACGCCCATTTTCGGGATTTTTCGGAGCGTCCAGTTGTTATAATGCTGCGGGAAACACTGGGTCTGTACATAATAACATTGATACTTACCTCATCATACTCTTTTAACCTCTCCTGCAGTTCTCTCCTCTTCTCCTCATCTTTACACCGCCTCATCTTTGACTGCAACCTCCCCTTCCTCTCTACATGTCATGACAGAGAAAAGAGAATGCTGAAGAACACAGAGTTTCAAACATCACTATCATTACTGAGTGCATAAATGGGAGCTTGCAACAGAGCAAACGTTATAATTGAAAAAAAAGTTTTCACTTACTTTAGTGTCTGTATTCCACTGCGCTAATGGTGCTACAGGGTTGACGTGACCAGTATAAACAACATAATAGATATTTTAACCCATGCTAAAAGGCTGTCAATACACCATGTCACACTGGCATCATTGCCAAGACTATGTACCAACTGGTGTGGTTCCCATTGGTGTATTAGGGAGTCTGTAAAACACTGGACTCTAATCAACCAACTATGAGGGATCATGTGTTAGAGAACGGGTGCAGTGTGCTTCTGCTCATCCTATGGACATGGAAATGCTGTGTAGGCAGAAGCCAGGGCTGAGCATCAACCTTGGGCTAAGGTTTTAGATATTGTATGCTCAGGAGAGTTGCGAGAAGCCACAGTATACCCTGCATGTCTGTTTTTGGAGCTGAGAAACAACTGGAGGCCTGACTGAGGTGTATGTTTAGCATCACATGTCTAGTTCCTGCCAGACCACCCAGGCAATACAGTGTGACTGGTCTCCAGACACTGTAGGGTATACAATATGCCTGGGAAAGTGGGATACTAAAACATTCAGATTATCTCCTCACTATTGTCTATATTTCAAAATACAGTGATTGTTTCTCCTCCCTACCACGTTACATTGGCTCATGCACAAGACTATAGCCTCTAACCCAGGCTTCCTCAAAGTCTACGACTGTTCTTAGTACATTGGTCCATTCCAGTCCAGTGTCTACAGTCCCTACTGGACACTACAGATGACGACTGAGTGGAGCTACTGATGACGGCTACAGTCCCTAGTGGACACTGAGTGGAGCTACAGATGACAGCTACAGTCCATAGTGGACACTGAGTGGAGCTACAGATGACGGCTAAAGTCCTATAAAAGTCTTCACCTGAGCCCTCGCAAAATTGTCAGTACTTTTTCCTATTGCAAAAATGCCTACTTTCCTCACAACTTCTACTTTCTGAAGGTATGCTTCACTAACCATGAAACCTTAACAGTCAACCATTCCCTGTACAAAAGTACGTATGTGGTGCATGTAAAAACAGTTTACACAACCACTTCTGGGGCTCAGGTGAACCTGAATGGAGAGCAACATATGGAAGTAGTTCAAGGGTCAATTAACTACGTTTATCAAAAGGAAGCAGATATGGACCACACAAGATAAAAATATATTGTGACAAATATTTATAGCACTTGAGTAAAGCACTCCAGTAACCTACTGTTCCTGAAACACACACACCAAAGTACATACCCAGGGGTCAGCGGACACTGCATCCAATGAGGTTAAAAGTGGATATGTGCATAAAACAGTCTGTGCAGTTGCAAAGACCACAGGTACTGTATAAAGACTCTGGTAGAATGCTACCCTGGAGCAACTAGTATGCAGCTCTTGTAACATGATACTCGGTAAGCAAATAGTGCATAATAAAACTCCACATATGAGCAGTGGGAAGTTTTGAAATACACACAATACATTCTGCTTGTTATGCCTGCACTCATTGCAGTGATACCTTCTGTTGAAATCACAAGTATGATAAACGATTGCAGGGATCCTAGCAATATTGAAAGAGATGAACACACAAAGTACTAGAACAAATACACACATTTACTCTGACATTTCACAGATGCAAACACACATACTCGATATCCACCAGTCTCTTCACTCTATTCACTGTCTCAATCGCCTGGAGGTGTAAGAGGATAGAGATCAATATATGGAGCACAAGGACAAGGGTGTGCCCTGTACAAGACACACCATATCACCCTGGCATGTGTTTGCCTCAACCAGGTTTGATTCCATCTACTAAGTCTTAATCCATATCAAAGCTCTGGGGGCATCGGAAATCACTGCTCCACATAAACCACTGTGGGACAGTTGTAGAACTGAAGCAGACTTTACTATACACTTCATCATCAGATATTACGCTACACGTCTGTATGTGTGCTGCAAGACTGAGATAATCTTCCCAAGCATCAGAATCAGAAAGTGACAATAGGCTTTTTGTTTAAGAAGCCAGAATATGCAGTCCCACGTATTACAGGTCAGAACCGGAGTGGGCGGGGCATCATAATGTAGGGAAGTCTACTGAAACATACACAGCCAACCCTACAGAATGCTACCTACGTAAATCCTCTAATAATGCAGTGTCACATGAAAAGTTAAACACAGAGACTGTGCCTTGCAAGTTGTCTGAAGGTCACAGGGTTTTCTGTACAGTTGTGAAGAGTAGGCTAGGGCACATAGAGCAATGGAGAGGAACATACATATTGACTGTAAATCTTTAAGAGTCATGCATGAAAGTCAAGGTTAACGCAGGAGAGCATCACTTAGCTGGTAGTGTGGGAGGAAAAGAGGACAAATAGAGTCTTTGCTCGCGTAAGAGACTAGAAAAAGTTCACAAGACATTTTTCCTCGGCTAATGTATACCTGCCTTGATTCATTAGTCTTGGGTTTAAACGTGGAGTTCGGGTATAAAAGGCGAAACAGCGGTGCGAGCAACTCTCATTTTTTTGACATTTTTGGAGGTTGCTCAACAAAGATGCACTAACAAAATGGCGACCCACACAAAGAACCGGCAACATGGCAACTGCACGTTGAAAGGTTCTCTGTGGTTGTCTATATCTTTGTATACGGAGTGATTCAATGACTCTATAACGTCTTCTCCTCGAAACAGAGCTGGCTAATGTAAACCCACTGCTTGCTAGGTATAGTTAAAGTATTTGCATGTGCATGTGACTGGCTGTGTTTTATGTGCTTCAATACACGTGCTGCAATGGGGCCAGAAAAAGTGCCATGGGCCTTAGAGTATGCTTTACACACAACCATCTCAGTCATAACCATACGGAGCAGATACATGTATCATGGGGTTCACAGAGTGTTTGCACAACTCAGGCATGCCTGTACTCAATGTGACATCAAAAACAGTCAAGTAATGTTACCTCATCACAATCTCTCATCTTCTTCTCCAGTTCTCTCCTCTTCTCCTCATCTTACACTTCTTCAACTCTGACTCCAGTTCCTTCTTCTCCTCCTTCTTCTCCTCTCTCCTCCTTCTCCTCTCCTACAGTCATGACAACGATCACTTACACTGGAGTACAATGGTTTGGCAAATGGTTTTGCCTTGATGATGTTGCAAGCCACGCCACACGTTCGACTCAGTTTCAACAGAGTCTAGTAGCACCAGTGAGTAGTGTTGGAGCAATATGATACTCATCTTACAGTAACTTTGTGCCCTCCACAGTGTTTTAAATCAGTCGAGGTAAGCCATTGCTCATTACCTATGCTAATGGCTCTTTTGCTTGTGTTTCATGCAAAACTCTCGAATGCAGTGGTTCATGGGAAACAGTATATTCACTGCAATGGGGCCAGAAAAAGTGCCATGGGCCTTAGAGTATGCTTTACACACAACCATCTCAGTCAGCAGATACATGTATCATGGGGTTCACAGAGTGTTTGCACAACTCAGGCATGCCTGTACTCAATGTGACATCAAAAACAGTCAAGTAATGTTACCTCATCACAATCTCTCATCTTCTTCTCCAGTTCTCTCCTCTTCTCCTCATCTTCACACTTCTTCAACTCTGACTCCAGTTCCTTCCTTTCTTTCTCCTTCTTCTCCTTCTCCTCCTTCTTCTCCTACAGTCATGACAACGATCACTTACACTGGAGTACAATGGTTTGGCAAATGGTTTTGCCTTGATGATGTTGCAAAGCCACGCCACACGTTCACTCAGTTTCAACAGAGTCTAGTAGCACCAGTGAGTAGTGTGTGGAGCAATATGATACTCATCTTACGAGTAACTTTGTGCCCTCCACAGTGTTTTAAAATCGGTCGAGGTAAGCCATTGCTCATTACCTATGCTAATGGCTCTTTTGCTTGTGTTTCATGCAAAACTCTCGAATGCAGTGGTTTCATGGGAAACAGTAATATTCACGTCTACGTAGCACTGACAGTGTTGGTATCACTCATTGGCAGCCTTGTAGCCTGTAATAATGGTAAAGACAGACTCACAAACCACAAACCTCACTACGCATACATATGTTCTCAGCGACAATCCTAGCAGAGTGCCACAGATTAAAGGGTATTGAATGGAGACAAGCAACATTATGATGTATACATAAACTAGACATTGTATAACATAATGATGAGGAAACATAATATGTACCTGGTGTTCCAGTAGTTCCTGAAAGTTTGGTGAAATACTAATGTCCTGTTCTTGAGAGCCCTGTATGGAAAAGCAGTAGAGATTATCTTAACAGAAAATAGTAAACCCAGCATCTACTCCCACAGTCACCTAGAACTCATTAACAATTAACATACATGATTGTGGACGAACTGCATACCTTGATAATAACAAATGCAAAAGAATTATGGCGAGCATGTGCATTATTTTCACACACACATTTAAAATCAGGTAAAAACTGAGCCATGAAATCACTTCCACAGACACTACCAGCAGGAGATTCCCTCAACACATGACTTTCTTTCTCACACCCCATCACACAAAAGACACTCCTCCCTCCTTCCCTTCATCTCACTCCTAATTGAACCCATGAGTTCCTCATCTGCACGGGGTCACTACCACCATGCAGATACCTCCGTACATTGAGAGATTTGGTATCCTTCACCAACCATGAACTAGTATTGTAAACCTCACCACACATGTGTGCTGAGAACAATCCTAGCAGAGTGCCACAGACTAAAGGGTGAACAGTCATTCTCAACACAATGGGCTACAGTTCCAACACAAGTCCTGACAGAGCGTGTACCATTACCAGAACATTAATCAATACTGGTGAGGCAGAGGAGCTCGACCAGAGAGGCAGCAGGTGAATGTAATGCAGACACAGTGAGGATGTGGCCATTGTAAGAGGTGTCAGAAGACACGGGCATAAAGATGCACATATCACTAGGTCCACACACAATGCTGGTCTCGTTTAAATGTCAAATCGCAAACTCTGTTCAGAA